TTGTTTGTTGGTGTTCATAACACATCTTTAAATATTTTATTTTTATTTCTGGATCCTGGATTTGATCGGCTACAGCAAGCATATCCTTTTGAGTGTCTGTTAGAACATTGATACTACTGGGTTCTCCGAGATTCAAACCATTCATTTCTACTATAGATTTCCAGTAATTGATTTCTGATATTTGTTCCTGATTGGTACTACAGGGACATGGTTCTTCTGAATCATCTTCATCAGAGGAGGAAGAGTATAACTGGTTAAGCTCATTATCAGAAGGGATTTCATCTTCAGTTGAAATTTCTTCAGCTTCTAAGACTTGGATTAACTGGTCTTTAATGTCTGGATCGAGGTTTAGTTCATTGACCTTGGATTTAGCTTTAGATCTACATCTATTAGCATAATGTCCTGTTTGACCACATTTGTAGCGTTTTACTTCGGATTTGGATTTTCCTTTTTGTTTACTGGTCGATTTTTTGGAATAAAACTTCTTGGCAGGTTTCGGGTGGCTAGTCTTTGGATAAGACTTTTTTCTGTAAGGTTTCGAGGATTTTTTATGAACAATTTTTCTGGTTTTGGCTGGGTATTTAATACCGGGCTCATAGGCAAACTGGTCACAGAATTCGCCTAATTCTTTTCTTCCTGTTAAGTTTTGTTGTTTCATTTGATACTGGAGTTTGAGGTCATTACACAAAGAAAGACCTTCATCAGTAACAATGGACACAAGTTGTCCATAAGTGTACTGTTCATAAGGAATAGACATCCGGTCATGGCGGTCCCGAAGTTTTTTCCTAACACGTTCGGCGAAGAGGGTAGGAAGGCCATCAATAAATTTGGCTTTCCATTTGTACCAATCCTATATGGATGTACTTATAATCTTTCAGAAAGGGGACAAAATCATTAACATGAATTAATCTAATAATTTCATCATTATTCTAAATACAAGATGCATGTTCAAACGTCTTGATAATTGTTCTGCTTAGGAATTGGAATTTTCTTTTTCTGTATATGGTGTATGGATCTACTGATGGTATGGTCCATTTATCTAGGGCCTGTTTAACATCCTGATATGCAACTAATTCTGCAGCTTCGGCTAATGAGGAAACAGTATTTCCTACAGTTGTTACTGATTCAGTTCCTGGTATTTCTACAGTATTTTCATTTTGTTCAGACATGGTTGTATTGTGATCATATATGTCTAATTTATTAGATTTATATGATTACTATATGTTGATTAAAACTTGGCTCTGATACCATGAAAGGTGCTCACTAAAGGTTTTGATTAGCACGTCTGTCAACGACTTACGGGGATCAAACGGTCAACGCAATCTCTGCAACACGACCTAAACCCTACGCGACTTGGATGACGTCCCACTATGGTTTTACCATGGTAACTATTCTGTTCATTCAGATAAGCTTCTTCATAAAGAATATCTGGGGGAGTAGGTCTGGAATAGTAATTTCTGGTATGAGGTAAAAATCTTGGTTTAGCAGAACTGTAATAGTTTAACTTATTGACAGATGAGGGTTCCTGAAAATTAAGTTGAATTTCTTGAATGTGTTCTGGTGATAAAGTATCTGGATCAGGGCTGGAGTCAGCTCTTAACATGTGGATAGATCCACCGCTAGTTTGACCAGGGGGCTTAGTAGGTTCTGGAGGGCGAACATTAAGTGTTTGCATTTTCTGAAGAAGAGTGTCCATAAACTCAGTATTAGACGATTTAAGCTTAAAATTTGTAATGTCTAAAGATGGTTTGATAGATACTGGATGGAGGGTGGAGACTCCTGTGACAGGTGGAGCTAGAGTTCTATCCTCAAAGGTAGAAATAGCTTCTTCAATTCGGATTAACTGTTTGCTGATGGTTTGACAGATAAGATTAGTATAATTATTTTGTCGAGCTAAGGAGGCTTCTGCTTTACTTAGTTTCACTGATTGTGCATCAATATATGCAGCAGCGGATAACGGTTGTCTGGTGGTTTCGCCATTAGGTGCTAACTCTAAGGCTTGGGCTGGCGGATGTAGAGAATAGATAACTTGACCTTCTGTAGTAGTCCAGGCTTTATACTGGTCTTCAATAACTGTTAGTTTTGGTTGGGTCACTGTATTATACCATTCAACAAAGGGTATTAATTCTGATGTAACTCAAGATGTTGGTAATATTGAGTTTTGTAATTAGCTAACTGTTCAGAGGTATGATTGGTAAAATACCAGTCTCTAAATGCTTTATATTGATTCTGGTTAAATTCCTGGTTTAAAATTTTTCTATTTTCACTTCCTGGTGTAAAATCCATTAAAGATCAAAATTCATGTCGCTGGCCGTAGGGCTATCTGGAGAAGGTGTTGGAACTGGGGGTGCAGTATAAACACCATGAGGAATACGATTTTGGGAAAGACGGATTCCTTGAATTTCTGATGTCATAGGATCTTCTTGTGGATCACTAGGTGGTCTACTAGGAGGCCTAGAGGGTATCTGTTGAAGAATGTTTTCTATTTGTCTTCTGGATGGTAGATTGTCCACAGATTGACGACTGGATTCTGGATAATCCACTTGATAAGGAGGGACAGATCGAAAACTGTTATTAGAAAAACTTCTAGGTGCGGTTCGAAAACTGGCATTAGAAGAATTGCTTCGGGTAAGTAAAGGTTTCTGGAATTGGAGATAAACATGACCTCCTTGTGTCTGGATAACATCATCGATGTTATGTTGAATCATTGGTTTGGGTGGTACAGCATTAGGAATTTCCCACCTATCCGGAAAAGTGATGTCTTTCCAAGCAATCATCTTGGGGACAGCAACTTGGCTACTGTAGAGGTTAGTCTCAATTAAGACTGTTTGGCCTGTTTCAGTTTTCTTTTTTACATAAGGATTTAAAGTTGTTAAAGCCTTTATGTAGATCCGGGAATGTACAGAAAAGAGTGGAGTACCTGGTTTATAATTATATCCATGAGTGAGAACTCTGAGTTCTAAGATATTGGATAAATTAGCATCACATAAAGCAACACTAAGATTCGGATAAATATCAAAATAAACTGGTCCATGAGACAAACTTGTCTCAATAGCTCCCATAAGTGAAGCTCGCCAATCAAGACAGCGTCCATCACGAAGGGTGCATTGAATACTGGTGTTTTGACCAAGAAGGGTCAATGGTTTAAATGCAATTTGTACCAATCCTATATGGATGTACTTATAATCTTTCAGAAAGGGGACAAAAATCATTAACATGAATTAATCTAATAATTTCATCATTATTCTGAATACAAGATGCATGTTCAAACGTCTTGATAATTGTTCTGCTTAGGAATTGGAATTTTCCTTTTCTGTATATGGTGTATGGATCTACTGATGGTATGGTCCATTTATCTAGGGCCTGTTTAACATCCTGGTATGCAACTAATTCTGCAGCTTCGGCTAATGAGGAAACAGTATTTCCTACAGTTGTTACTGATTCAGTTCCTGGTATTTCTACAGTATTTTCATTTTGTTCAGACATGGTTGTATTGTGATCATATATGTCTAATTTATTAGATTTATATGATTACTATATGTTAATTAAAACTTGGCTCTAATACCATGAAAGGTGCTCACTAAAGGTTTTGATTAGCACGTCTGTCAACGACTTACGGGGATCAAACGGTCAACGCAATCTCTGCAACACGACCTAAACCCTACGCGACTTGGATGACGTCCCACTAACCCTAACATTTAATTAACCTTACAAAAGCACAAACCCAAGAATTAATACACACATAATAATGACATACATAAAACAAATTAGGACATATATGATCTCATATTACCTTACTGTTGGGGTGGCGGAGGCTTCCTGGCCGCCCAAGCCACCAGATTCTCGTTGATCAGTACTTGCAACTCAGCAATCCTCTGATCACACTCGGCAAGGCGTTCAGCTATATACTGTTGGGTATAGAGATCTACAGGAGTATTAAGGTAATGCTGTTTTTGGGTTTGCCAGAAATCTAAAAATGTTAATAACTGTTCTAGTAGGTTAACAGAGGGCATACATATTGAAACACGAATAGCAAACTTTTATTAAGGAAGTAAAATATTTTACAAGAGGGGGTTTGGAAAGAGATTACAAGAGAGGAGATAGTAAAACAAAAGAAAAACTAGAATTTTCGTAATGCCTCAACAAGGGTGAAAGCCTTCCCTTAAATAAACAAAAGAAGATAAGATACAATTATTACATAAGGACAGGTGGAGATCTTCTATTGCACCGACAGATTACACCTATCTTCTTATCTTCAAGGATATCGGTAGAGGGGAACAAGCTTTATCCCTGATACTGATGGAGCATCTGCTTTCTGGAAAGTTGTTTGTCCTGTTGTGCCGACGCTCTAAAGCTCGGGGCCCTTTCCTTTGTTACTTTTGTCTTGGGCCATCTTTTCTGTTAGTGCTGCTGTAAAGGAATCCCAAAAATCTCCAAGAGTGGGTTCCACTTCATCTTCTGATTGCGATTCTCCTGCTAACACGTGGTCGGATGGATCGGCTTCTGATTCGGATTGGGTATGACTGGTACCTGATCTCATTGATGCGTCATCTTCAGGATTAACGGATTGGAGGAATTGTTCTTTCAGATAATCCATACTTTTAAGGATTAATTCATTATCTGAAAGGTTAGGGAATTTCTGTTTTAATTCCTTTTGCATCTGGACAAAGGGATTGGTAGCTGGAGAAGAGGGTGCCGGTAAGGCTGGTTGTTTAACTGACTCCCAGCAAGCCTTGGTATGCTGTTGGATTTTCGGAATGAGATCTTTGAGATCCATTTTATCCCACCATTTGATAAAATAAATTCTTTTTAATCGGGGATCTTATTCTGGTAGTCACATGCAAAGTCCCATTTCCAGATCCATGGAATACTAAAACGGATAGAGAAATGGACAATAGCTTTTCTGATTGAAAGTTCTCTGTTTTTATTTAAATATGAATAGGCACGAGAATCTCTGTAAGTTCTGGTAATAGTCACGAATATAATTAAGTTCTGATACCATGAAAAAGAATCCACCTCCATGGTCTCCAGAACATACTTTAGCTGTTCAGAAAATTAAAGCTAAAGTCCAACAGTTACCTTGTTTAAATTTACCAGAACCTGAATGGAAGAAAATTCGTGACTATTACCAGAACTTATCTGCAGATGCTAACATCTTGTATACCAGGTTAAAAAAGAATCCACCTCCATGGTCTCCAGAACATACTTTAGCTGTTCAGAAAATTAAAGCTAAAGTCCAACAGTTACCTTGTTTAAATTTACCCAATCCTGAATGGAAGAAAATTGTTGAAATAGATGCTTCCAATGAAGGATTTGGTGGTATTTTAAAACAGTTTAATCCCAAAACTCAGAAAGAAGAACTTTTACGTTTTCATTCTGGGCATTGGAATCAAGCTGCTTTAAACTATCCAACCATTAAACAGGAATGTTTAGCCATTGTCAAATGTGTTATGAAATTCCAGGATGATTTATTAAACCAGCATTTTATCATCAGAGTTGATTGCTCTGCTGCTCGACAGATATTTAAACAAGATGTTAAAAACCTTGTTTCAAAACAGATATTCGTAAGCTGGCAAGGTTATTTATCCAATTTGATACGTACTACTGTGTTTAATTTTGTGATTAGTTTTATATTTGTAAATATTGTTAACTTTTCTTTTTCAGGGTTTAGGTCAACCTTATTTTACGGTTCACATTCTTTTTGCTTCATTGTCACAATTAACGTGTGATGCCATGAACTTGATACATGAATATATATATATCTATATTCCTTTTAGAATTAGCAAAAAAAAGTTAGTTTATTGAATACAAAAAAACTAATGCTAATAAAAGTTAGTTTATTTAGTAAAATCTTAACTTTTTGTTTTAGCTTTTCTAATGTTTTTGGAGTAGTTAAATTTGATTTTTGAAAGAAAATGAATATTTGTATTAATATTAATAATTAAAGTTATAAAAGTTGTCATACATATGTAAATTACCCTCCCTTTTTTAAAATCAATAATTTGGCTTTTGTAGCCAGTGCCAAAAGGAAGCATTAACAAACCAAGTTGATGAGCAAAAGCTGCAACTAATACTAACCTAAAATCTCAAGAAAAATGCAAACTTCACACTTCATTTCCAAATAAGAAATAAGCCCAATTCATGAGCATAACTACCCTTGTTCTACTCCATCCTTGTTATCCTATCTTATGTTTTCCCACATATGATTTTTGAGTCCCTTTTCATTGTTGAAAGAACTAATCTCAATATACATAGCGAACCGCCTTGTAAAATGGCGAATGGGCCATCTCCGTTAGTCCTGTTTTTAGTAATAGTTGCCTTGGTACTAGTCATTCATGGACGCAATGCAGAGCAACCAATCTTCGATTTTGTTGTTGTCGTTACACTTTTTGTTATGTTTTTAGTTTACTACTTCGTGGAATTAGTTATAGTCTCTCTCACACTTACTCTTGTAACATACATGGTTAGTAAGATGCTTCTCGGTCCTCTGGTATTGATCTTCATCATTCACTTTGTTAGTGTTTTTTTGCCTTCTTTCCAATCACGACATTACACTAGAAGAGGGAATAGGATATTATATGAGAGAGACATGAATGAATGTGAATGGGGATCAGTGGTGATACTTGTTATCTTTGTCATTATTTATGGTTTGCTCTGTCAAGGAGGAAACAAATGGGGAATTGTGTTTCTAGCTATGTTGCTCTACTTTCTATATAACTTGTCACCCAAAAAGCTGTACCCTTCTTAGATCGATTTTGTTAGGTTTTTTTAATTGTTAATCCCGTTTGACAAAACTCCATTAAGTTATAATTTTATTCGTTCTTTTGTTTCAGTGAGGCTATAAGTGTTTAGATGCGAATCCAATCTGAATTGTGCCTGTGTAAAGGAGTTTGTGCTGCCATTCCGTATCTTGAGCATTCCTTGTTCGCCATTTTGCTATCTACTATCTCTGCCTGCAAACAGAACTTCTAGGAAATATGTTTCATCGCTCGAGCAGTGGATGTTGCGCTTGAGCAATTGACCTATATGTTTGCACCGCCTTACATTGCTGGAGCGGTAAAGTGGTTGCTCAAGTGGTCTTCGTTGTTTGCTATTTTTAGGGTTTAACCCGTCCAAATTCTGTTGTTAGGGAAAATATGTGATTCTCCACATGTAAATCAATCAATGGGAATAAAAACTAATGCGGAAAAATTAAATCAAAGGCAACACAAGAATTTTTACGTGGTTCCCTCAATGTGAGGTACGTCCACGGGATCGAAATCCGATTCCACTATCAACCAAATAAGTTCCAAACGATTACAAACGAGACACTAATGGTCTCACAAAACACCCTTAGGTGAATTCCAAATAATCACAAATAAACAAGAGGAAAAACTTCACCAAATAGATGAACCAAATCTTCTAAACCAGAGTTGAAGAAGACCCAAAAATAATGAACCAAACACCAACCGAAGATGCCCCAAAAATTGAGCTTCACAAAAATTGAAATTGAACCAAATATTCCAATCTTCGGCACTGTTACCCAAAAATAATGTAAGCCGCCACTCACCCTTATTTTGTTTTCAATGTTGTTCTTTTGTATCACACGGCACAGCACACACTACACAATATATATATTGTTAATCTAGGGTTTTGTAATCAAGCCCTAATTGTATCCAAATGGAATTGGATCTCCACAAATATAATATATAAAAATATATTATACCAGCGTATTTGACAAACATCGAACAATACAGCAAAAAAGTGCATATAGTATGTTTTTCATAATTTTTTCACAAAATTTCATAACTTAAACCCAAAATATCATAATTTTTTCTCTACAAAAGTCAAAAAAAAATTTCATTGAAAAATGTCATAATAAAATCTCAAAGTGTCATAACAAAAATCACAAAATGTCATAACATTATCATTTCAAACTTTAGGATGCAAATCATAAATTCGCTATTTATAACTTTACTAAAAAATATCATAACACATATCACAAACAATCATAATATTCATCATAAAAAATCATAACTTTTTTACAATGTGTGCCATTGAAAGGGTGCACATTGTAAATTTCTCCTACCCTAACATGCCAAACACCAAACAATTTCCAGCATTAGACTGTGAGGTACAAATTTTGCAAATTTGATTGATGAAAGATGAACAAACTTCCAACTTGTTGACCTGACCAAATGGTAGTCCTTTCTTGATTGATGGCTTTTGTTGTTGTGGATGGTTGATTGGAGACCATTTTGAACGGCATCTAAAAAGCATGGTGTGGAATCAGGGTCATGATTTGAATATAAAAAAAGTCATTTATATTCCCAGCCACCCCTATTATTTTAAATATATACTTCCTAGAGCAACTCTCCAACCCCATTCTTTTCAATTCTATTCTTTATTTTAGTTTTTTAAAAGTTTCTTCGAAAGTTAATTTAAGGCTTGCTTTAGTTTGGTTTGATTTCTTCAAAAGTTAATTAAAAATTAAATTATTAATTAAGAATATCCTAAAAAAAACTAATGCTAAAAATACTTACTTGTATAACACATTCCTATTTTTTTTTTTCTTCATAATTTTTACTTTTTTCATGACTTCTGAAAATTGAAAGTCGTTTGAAGGGATTTTTTTGACAACTAATTGGGTCTGAAATGCCTAATTTCTAAACAAATTAACAATTGACATGTAACAGTTCATGTTATCGAGAGTCAATTTAGAAGTGATGCCATACAGGTTTTTAGTATTTTTCTTTTAACAAAACGACTTTTTACCTTACCACTTTAATTAGCATGTACTCCAATAATCTTTTCTAAAGTTCGGATAATCTCCTATGCTTTTTCAATGTAGAAAGCAAAATAATGTCTAAAGAGTCTATTGGAGGGCTACAGGCTAACTAAAATGTCTAATTTGAGTGTTTTAAAGAATTTGTTCAATATGCTCTTACACTATGTTTATAATTGTTATAAATTTAACTAAATTCATAATATCATAGGATGAACCGGATGAGAAATGTGTGAGACATACTATATTGATTAGAATAAAATATAACATGAGATAAAATGAGAGAATCATTTACTTGTAAATAGGAATAGGCCTTCAATTTGGTGGTATAATTTAAGTGGTTGGATAAACAATCCCATGTTAATACCTCTCGAAAATCAACTAAACCATGTCAAAACAACTTCACGAAGACATGTGGGTCCAGATGTCGCCTCTAATCTGGACAGAGGAGGGATAATTGTACGTCCAAGCTGACTTCATATGAGGCATGAGGATTTGGGTCTGCTTGGAATTTAGATCCTCTCCTAGTTCAATGAAGGTCTCAATTTCAATATATAAGGTAAGACGACATCAATAAAAAACCAAAATCAGTAGTTTATAACCTTAGTGATGTAGACTTCATACATTCTGGCTACCTATAGGCAGCTCAACCATTTCTCTCCTATGTTTTGCTCGTCTTATATCTAGTCTCTCTCGCATCAAATGACCTGCAAAGTAAAACATTGACAATGATAAGCATCATATAATTTGATTAAAAATTCAGTGTCCTGTTAGTTATCCTAAGTGATTCATCTTACCAAAATCCACCAGGTCAGACAAGTTTTACGATTTGTTTTCTAGTAATTCATTCGCTCACGATTAATTTTCCAAAAAAAACAAGTGCACAAACAAATCATAAATACTAGCCAAAGCAATCTGATTTCCCCAAACATTTCAACTTCACTGTCCTCTGTTTGCTAAGCTTGTCTAGAGGTCACCCAATAACACTGAAGATTGACATTACTATGAGAAGACAATCTTTCCAAGCTGCATATAGGTGAATTTCTGGAGAAACTTGAATCTGACCTTGTAAGCCTATAAGCTTCATTTTTCATTTTTATATCCCAAAAGGTCACTTCCTGTAGAGCATCAGTTCACCCTTTGTAAGGATTGTCAATTGACAATGGGTATGTTAGGATCTTGGATTTGTGGAGGTCAAATAAACGGGGAAGAGATTTATATTTAAAAAAATTAGTACCTATTTCATTCATTTTTCCCTCCCTTTTTTCTATTCCCTTCACAAATCTCTCACTAAATCCAAGATCCAAACACAACCTAAAAAATTCTCTTGAAATTTCTTTTGAACTTTCTTCAATAGGTTCTCTTCAATTTTACTTAGTCTACAAAGAACTGTAACTGTAACATTTAACTCATAGGCAGCAGTTTCATTTGTTCTCAAACAAATACCTGTGGCTGAATCTGCTTTCAAATTTAACACACACACACACACACACAAAAAAAAACTTAAAACTATATTTTACATGGTCAAACACGAAACTTCCTTCTCAGTCCAGGCAACCCAAACACCACCTAAACAATGCTAACAATTCCTCAAATAATGCTGTCAGCACTCCCTATCAACTATCAAGGCAAAAAGTTATGATGTCATCATAATGTCATCTCAGCTATTTTTTATAGGTAAATTCAATAAGAGCCGTGCTAGGGAGCTTGAATTTGGAGCCCTCGAATCCCCCGAATCAACCAAAAATCAAGAGATGAAGAAGATGAAGGAAGAAGGAAGAAGAGAAGGAAGAAGAAGAAGAAAAAGGACTGGAGGGGGCAATATCAACCGGGCGGAGGCGGAGGCGGAGGCAGAGGCAGTGGCAGAGGCAGGGCGGAGACGATCAGCCGACGAGCTGCGATCGGCCGACGAGCTGCCACGAGCAACGAGCTGCGATCTGCGATCGACATCCACCGTTGCTCGCA